GGAAAGAAGTGGCTTGGTCAGTTCCAAGGAAGAATGCAATTCACCCAGTTTGGTCCCCACCAGCTTCAGGGTTCACTAAATTAAACTTTGATGGAAGTAGCGAAGGAAATTCAGGTCTGTCGGGAGCTTTCAGGGATGAGGAAGGTCGAATCATCGCATTGTATTCGGGTCCTATTGGCTAGGGGGACTCTCTTAGAGCTGAAATATTGGTTGTTATGGAAGGGTTAAAAAGAGCTTGAGAATTAAATATCAGAAACCTGATAGTGGAAGGTGATTCTAATTTGACTATCAACTGGTTAATGAAAGATGATTTGAGTTTGTGGAAGTTTCTGAATGAAAAGAAGAAAATTAGATATCTCATACAAAATATGGAAGTCAAATTTCAGTGGACTAAGAGGTGTGCCAATTCCTTTGCAGATTCATTGGCTAAACAAGGGATGGGAAGAGAAAATTTGTCCTGGGCAACATTGTAATCCGAAATGTTCTCTTGGGAGGGTTAAGTGTTTTTACCCCTCCCTTTGTATTTTTCTATATTAATATCTCTTAATAAAAGTATTTGTTATTTATCAAAAAAAAAAGAAAAAAAACACACATACACAACCAATATGACTGCTATAGCTTACATGCATTGCATATAGAAATGAAGGGGAATGAGAAGGAGTTGCAGATTTGATACAAGGCTTAGACTTGTATGCATTTGGTGACCTAAATTTCTTGTTGTAGATGGAACATGAGAAACTTGAAAGGTAGCACCAAAGAGTTGTTGTGGTTAGAATAGAAAATAGAAAGAAATATGCTAAAAGAATTTCTAAAAGCTCATGATAGACAGGAACTCAGATAATGTCTGTGATGGAGGTCTTCAAAATATATCTGAACCAGGGAATGATGGGAACCTGTCTGGAGTAGTGAATCAATGACTTGTATCTAGAAGACCAAGTTTGGCATTTATACAAAATATGCTAGGAATTTTGATAACACATGATTCTAATGAAGCACGTTGAAGGGCTAACAAAAAAAAAAAATGAGTCCACTTTCAAGGTTGCAACTTTTAGTCTAGTAGCAATCTCATGTGAAAAAGATAATTGGTTACTCATCCTTAAATTATTTGGAAGAAAATAAAAAATCAAAAGGAAAAAAGAAGATTCTTATCAATAACAATTAAATTTTATTGATATAAAGAAATGGAGTCCATAAATGTACAAGTCCACCCCTTGCTTCGCTAAAGCATTCGTCAAGCTATTGGTTACACTTGGAACCGTTTAACTCTCACCTCCATATCTCTAGTCAACAACCTAAACTTTCTTATTTCATTGCTGTAACACCACAAAGCAGCCTCTCTTTTGCAGCCATCCTACCACCAAAATTTTAAATCTCCTTTACTCCTTCAATAATCAGCTTTTCCATATGTCTCCTTTGCCCTATTATACTACTTCCATCAAAGTTTTTTTTTTTGGTTAATTACTACTTCCAGCAAAGTTGAGTTTTAAGAACCCTAGTGCAGCATCCAATCAGAGGAAAAAAGGATTGAAGGCTATAACTCTATAAGTTGTAGGAGAGAAAGAGAGAGATGCAACTCACAATGGGTTACAAAGTTAAAATTATCATGTTAAAGACTTGTAAATGCATACAGGCTTAAACATGGTAAATACTTTGAATTGATCGAATGAAAACACTTTTATATTCCATTTGAATTCATGACATACAAGATTTAGTTGTTGACATATTCCCCAAAATAATGATGCCATCTAAGATTTTAATTCGAATGTTATTGGAAACTGTGCTACAATAAAAAGAGAACAATTATTGGATGTTCAAATTACAAGTTTGAATTTTTTGCATTTGCTAGACCCTTTCATCATTGCCTTTCTAGTACACGCAACTATCTTCTTGTGAGAATACTCATATCTATGATTTTTTATTGGCTACAGATCAATTATATTGTATTCTTACAACCTATAATTGCTCAAAAAAAAAGGATCACTGCCTTGTAAAATAATTGTTAGGAAAAAAAATTTAATACCAGATTAACTTTTATTTGTTTTATTAGCTCTTCGGACCATTCCAGAGAGTAAAATTAGTTGGTTATGAACTGAAGTGAACCCCACATAGTATGGCTTAATGCTCTAAATGAAGTATTGAAATCTTTGACTGGACTCAATATATGCTCAATAATGAGTGAATCCTCAAGATTTACTTCAAATCTGAAGTTATTGATCCTATGTTTTTACTAGCAAGTATTGTTATTTTTTTCTATGTTGCAGGAATATCTATTTTAAATATTAAACAAGGTTTAAAAAGGTTAAAGGTGGAGGCAAGGTGTAAACCACAAGGTGCAAACCATGTACATTGTTGTGTCAATGTATCATATTTTGCTAATATGGTCATATGTTGCCAGATTCATATATGGTGCGCTATGATTAGTTTTTGGGGTTGGGGGCAAAAAATAACTTTTTACTTAATTAGTTAGTTTTCAATATAAAATAAATTAAGCAAAAAACAAATTATAAATTTTTCAATTGAATATTTTTCATCATATACAACTTTATTGAAACTAAATGGCTTGTAAGTAAGAGTGTATAAAAAGAGTTTGACAATTTTTTAAACATTTTACAGTATTGATAATTTCTATTTTGTATTTTTATTTTTTTTCTTAGCATAATAAAGAAGAATCATAGTTATCCTTTTTTGGTTTATAGGTTGGTTCATTCCATTGTCATGAATAATGGTCCCATTGTCCTTGTTACAATTTTCAAATTGTTTATTCCAATTGTTTTTTCCCATCTTCATTGCTGAACCTTCTCCTTGGCTTTTACTTTATTTTTATTATTATTATTATTATTATTATTATTATTATTATTATTATTATTATTATTATTATTATTATTATTATTATTATTATCTCACTCTCTTCCTTTATCTACTTGTTTCCGTTATTACGTTTCTACAGTCTTTAAACTGCAAAGCTGAGACTCATTCATCTTGTTCTCTTTATCTTTGCAACTGTCTCAAGTTTTTCCTAGCCAAATTTGCTAGGTGCACCTGATATAAGTGATGCAGGACATGTAGGAGAAAAATTCTACTAAGACAAACATAGTGGGTCAAAAAAGGGGACCTAAGGATCAAATTATGAGACATTCAGATCTGAATAGTGAAGAGGCAAGAAATTGCATCATTATAGAGAAAGAGATAAAAATAACACCACCCTCTTATGCACAGGTAAGTTCAAAACAAACTTTTCATTCCACTAAATCAACTCTTAATTCCAACTACGATAACCCTATTTATAGATTCAAAACAAAGGCTTGGAAATATCTTCATATAATCCAATTTAGACCAAAAATTGACCCAAAACAACTTCTAATTACTTTAAAGCTAAGAGAAAACAATAGGCAACACCAATGTTTTAAAACACGGAGGCGTGACGTGAGGCATTCCACTACCTAGAGGTGTGAGGCGTAGTTGAACGCAAGAGGCATAAGCCTCCCGAACACAAGGAGGCGTAAGCCTCCTTAAGAGCAGGGAGGTTAGGAGGAAGGGGGGATCTATTTTTTCTTTATTTTTAATAAAAATATTTTATATTAAGAAGAATAAAGATGCATAACATTAGTTGAAAGGGGGACAAACCACTTTCTTTCTCCTTATCTTTTCTTCCCTTCCCTTTCCTTTTCTTTTCTCATTTTTTTCTTCTCTTTCTTATTCTTTCCATTCCCTTTCTTTTCTTTTCCTTTCCTTTCCTTTTTTTCTTTTTTCTTTGTCTTTTTATATAAGATGTGCATGAGGCGCATGAGGCGTACGCCTCTAGCACGCCTCATGAAAAAAGCATACGAGGCATATACCTCATCGGTGTTCATGCCTCTCTGGCATACGCCTCAGGGCGTTTTGGGAGCGCCTCCAGGCGTATGCCTCCCATGCCTTTTAAAACATTGGGTAACACATAGGAGTGCTTAAATAAGGACTCCAAGTCTCTAACTCTTCAAATAACTCTAATAATACTGCACTAAACTTACTACAATTAAATAAAGCAATAGAATGACACTCTATCAGTGACAATAAGATGGCTACAACTCTCTCAAAGCATGTTGGATGTATATGATAGTGTTCTAATTGGATAAACTCAATAACCTATCCAATGACACCAAAATCATGCAAAGACATATTTTGGTCGTTGAAAAATTGGCCGACAAAAAAATTGTGTGATTTCATCTTTAACTTCTCAAAATTCTAAAAGCTCTCTAATAAGAAGACTCCATGGACCAAATTGACCCTTCAAAAAGATTAACCTTATTCATAAGAAACAAACAAGCTATAAAATAAATTTGAAATAGCTTGAAAACACCAAAATTCAGATTGATTTGCAAATACAAAACAAAGCAATAAGTCATCAATTAAGCTACTTTAGCCATTACCAAAACGCCCTTCACTCCATATTGATTTGCAAATACAGCCTTAAAACCCATCTTAACTGTACACAACATCTCTTGGTTTACCTTATATATTCTTAGAAACTTGAGGTTTGATTTCTACAGAAGATTATTCAAGGGGCTATACAACGGGGATAGCCCATCCCCCAAACCCATAAACCCCCCAACCCATGTGCAGGCGGGATTCAATCCAAAGTCTCCGCTACAACCAGCAGGAGACCTTACCAACCAGCCGGCTGGCACCTTGCACCATTTGTCTACTTATTCACCACCAGTTTTACAACAGAATAAGCAATACTAAATAATAATTGATCAGAATTATTCAATGACATGTTGCTAGATGCAAGAAATCTAAAAAACAATAAATAATTAATTATCTGGACAAATCTTTCAATGATGCTTCATTAAATGCTACAGATCTAAAAAATATCAATAATTAATTCTCTAGGTTTGTTACTAATAAAAAATAATTAATTCTCTAAACAAATATTTAACAGAAGGAAACAGCCTAAAATTCATACTCCCATAAACATCACTAAAGAACAATAAAGCCTATGGTGCTAAAATCAGTAAAATTACAGTTTTGGGGGATGGAATCGAACAAAGGGGAAGGTGGGCAATCATCTCTTGGTAAGCACACTCATCTTTCTCAGTCAACTGAACAATCCCATCAAGCACAAGCACTTTCCCATATGTTGACGACTGCAGTAGAGAGAATCAGAATTAGCAGAGATAACAAGAAAACAGACCACAAAAGGAATTCTCACAAGAGCCAAAACAAAACATGCACGTTCAGCTACTCAAGACTGAGAAGAGCAAACCTCAAAAACCAAAATCTCTTGGAATTCTGACTTCCCAGTGTACAAAACTTTTTCTACTTTTAGAGAATGTGCTTCCCCTACAAATGATAAGACAGGAATAAGGGGAAATAGCAAACAAATTACTGTTTCATCAAATTCAGGTCAGCAAACAATATTCAGGAAATAAGTGACCATAATCACATGAAGAACATGTCACTCATCTCCTTCCTTCCCCAGGAAAGAGAAAAAATTACAAAGAAACATATTAGTATCAAGCATTTTACATGTTCAGGAAAGGTTGCTTCTGGTTACAGACAAATCTCACAAGTCACAACACATGGAGGACACCACAACATGAAAACTGGAATTCTTTGCAACAAAGTAACATTAACTTCAACAGAGGTCTTACAGGCATACAGACATCATAGGAATAAAATCATGCACTGATGGAAGATTTAACTAGCAACTATATTGCAAATCTAAAATATAATACAGAAAAACTATTATTTTGAGCAAATAACCAAAACAATGCATATGAAAATATAACTGTGTGACACTAGTTAAGAACATCATCATGGAAAAAATTCCTACCAGGCCACATGGGGTTGTTGAAATAAAGCAAATTTCCAGCCTCCCCTGTAACAATCAAGCAAAAGGGTGACAAAAATCGAGAAAACAACCATGCCTCCACAAATTATCATGCTTAAAAAATATGGTTGCCAAAAGGGAAAGCCATAAGCGACAAAAAGAAGCCTCACGTGATGGAGATTCAGAGAACCACCCTGAAACTACTGTTGCATGGCATTTTGCTTCAAGCTCAGGAGCCGAAGTCATTGCCTTCATACAACAAGAAGGAATAGTTTTTGCTGGGCCATTGTTTCTAGTCACCTTCCCATCCATAATCTTCTGGCATTCCAAATCTTTTCCTGCGTCTCCCTCCATAGATTATTCTTTTCTTCTCCGTCTCCAGTCTCTAATCACCTGGGAAGAAAAACTAGATAGTGAGAGGAATAGACAGTTTTATCAATTGCTCTTATTTAAAATTTAATGCCCACCCAATGATTAGGAGAAATTAATAATTAAATATCAAAATCTCAAGCTTTCTTTGATGATTTCTTTTTCTTTCAGAAAATAACAAAAAGAGTGCCAAAGTTCAATTAAAGACAAACATACCATTATTGCTTTAATATACTATTTTAGATAACTACATGTTGTTCCTAATTGTCACGTTGACCAGCACTAGAGAAAATTGCAAAAAAAAAAAAGATCATAACAATAAACAAAAGAATGGAATGGTGAAAAGGAAAACAAACGTAAGTATAGCTCATAAGTTGCTGCAACTTCTTCAAAAGAAATGGGAACCACCCGAGGGTTGTTTCATTAATCTGAACTCTGATGGAAGTAGCAATGGTAATCCAGGTCCATCAGAAGTAGAAGGGTTTTTCAGAGACAAGGATGGTCATATCAGAGCTTTGTTTTTAGGTCCTATTGCCTTTGGGAACTCCACCAGGGCCTGAACTCTATGCTTTTCTTCAGGGAGTACAAAAGGCGAAAGAAATTAATCTGGATAGATTGATCATTGAAGGAGACTATAAGGTGGTGTTTGGTAGGCTGAAGATTGATCATTCCAGCTCCCAATACAAAGATCTGCAAATGGACCAGCTCATTCACTAGCCAAGCAAAGGGTTAATAGGGATCAATTGTATTGGGCTCAATTGTAAATTGAAACGGGGCTCCGAAAAACCCATGGGATGCTATACTTGTACATATTTTTCTGTGCATAAGTCCATATTTATAAAATTCGTACATTAAAAAAAGTACAAACACAACTTAAAGAAGAATCCTCACGAAAGAATTTACAAGCTAAATAAACGCTTACACCCCCCCCCCCCCAAATGGTAAATTCAGGAAAGGAAACAAGGAAGAAAAAAAARAAAGTGTATCATATTTAGAATAAAAATATATTCGTTTGCCTGTGGTGAAAGGAAACACGGCATGTAAAACCAACTCTCGTTGGAGTAAACGAAATTTAGACAAACGTGAAATGTATCCCGCTTCCAGTAATGAAACTCAACTAGGATCGATAGATAAATAAATGAATACTACAAAATTTCATCACAAACCCGTCAAAACCAGAGAAACACTTGCATCAATAGGCCTCCAAAGAAAGGCGAAGATACGAAACTGTTTCAAGAGAAACTGAACTGACAAGGTTAACAGAAAGATAGAGAAATATAAGGAAACCGTGTAATCCAAACATTATCAATAACCTTAAAAGGTTTATGCTCTTCCTCTGCTTGAAAGGTAGGGAATGGGAGAAGCATTTCGTTTACAAGCTGCAGAGAGGCAAACAACCCGGAGATTGCACGAGAGAATGAAGGGGAACAGAAAGGTCTTACTTAGGGTTTTAATGAACAGAGAATGAACTCGAAGTTTAAAGGACCTAGCTTTCTCTCTGGGTTTATCTTGAAAAAAGGGAAACGAAAGAAGCAACATGAGAAACAAACACACGACGCATTTGGATTGTGAGTTGCAGAGAAGAATGGAGGGAAAATGAAGAAGAAGTTCCTTACCTGATATTAATCGCGATAGAGTTTCTGAGACGGAGTGGTTGCAGGCGTGGAAAAATAAAGAGAGAAAACGTCGGGAAGACTCTGTTTAGAACCTCTGTCTATCGCTATTACTCCTTTCCGTTCCCAGACGGAGGAACAGTGGGGAATAAAGAAGCCTAAACTAGTATTTATAATTTAATTTAAGGTGAATAACAGATTACCACCGTATTCTTTGGGATAGTTACACTTATTCCCCTTAAACTTTCAGATTCTAACACTTTGTCACTACAATTACTAAAAAATACCTTTAATTTAATTGAAATGGACACTGTTCATCATCTTCTGCATTGGAATGCCACAAACAAACGAATAGAGCGGCTGTGTATCTTCTCTCYCTTCCCTCTTTCCTCTTTCTTCTTTGCTATTTCTCATTGTATGTATATAGTGCTCTCGTAGACCTTAATAGAATATCAAACATCAAAACTAATACTACAAAGCTCACTCGTGCGAACAAACCCGCAATGCACATAAACCTTACGATAAACTTACAACATTTATAGCAAAACCACGATAATCCCGCGGTCCATCGGGCYTACTCAGTGCCTCAACCAAAGGAAACGATAACCAAATCCATTCAAAGGCCCCAAGCCTACTCGAACGTGCGATGTACTTATGCCTATTAAAGCATGCGATAAACCAATGACTTACAAGCTCACTCGTGACTTAGATTAAAAGAAGTCCATGGCGAGGCCTGCGTGTGCCCGGAGGCACGTGAAACCTAAAACAATAACAAAAGACATAGCAAGACGCCACGTGGAGTTAATAAAGCGCCACCCGCCAAGTGGTGCATCATTAGTGCCACGTGAGCTTAGTTAAATCACACAAGAGGTAACAGCATACGTAAGTGACAAGGGATCTTGAGGGAAAGGAAAGTCGATCATTGGGAAATTCTCATGAGATACGTGACGAAATCCCAGTGGCACACTTAATGATTGACAACAAATACAATATTTTCTTTCCCGATAAGATATAAGCATCTTTATCTCCTACATTTTATGATATCGGGATCTCCCCCCATGAATAAAGATCCTCATCATATTGAAATTCATTCGACTCTCAGCATTTGGTATCCGGCACTCAATCACTCGCTCTCACTTTGATCCCTTGCCTTAGCATCCTTAGCCCCAAAAGGCCTATTTTCTCACTCACCAGCCATTCTGTCTTTTCAAAGAGACCACCTACATCCAACCCTTACCCCACCCACACTCACTTTCAGCAATCATTGTTTATTTACAACTGTTCAAAATCCCTTCTTTTTTGGTGTTGCAACTAACCAATGTTACAACTTACAAATTATTGAACATTTCGGATAGCATATATTTAACTTTTTTTTTWAACCAAAAACCCATCAATCTAATCTCATAAAAGAATAGTGAACTGATTGAATCGTAGACGCTGCTTGCTTGTTTGGATAAACTTCAAAACAGTCAGATTTACGCACGTGTGGTTAAATAAAAAAGGCTGTAATGGGATCGGATTCATCTAAATCCTAGGTCGAATCGTTGATGTTCACCCGTGAACTCACGTATGCTGTGACTGGTCTGGTGTGAAGGCATTTTCTTGCAAGAGCCAAATAAAGCATGTGTTGTGGTAGTGTGTAGAAGAGGGGGAGTCCTTTCACAAGCAACAGAGAAATTAAAGTGGACCCATGTACCGAAAGCAATGCAACTCAGAAGGGAGAAGGGAGGCCACTCATGTATACAGGTTTTTAGGTGGTTAATAATCAACTAAGACAGTGGAAAGACACCTATTAGTAACCGACTAACTGTAATGAATGGACAACACAATACCCATTGGCCACTGTCATGATTTTAGTACCCAGTAGCTTAGTATTTGCTAGAGAGATTTCATGCCAATTTCCTTCACAAGGTCCCCCAACGGTGTTGAGTAAGCTTTTGTCGCAGTGCACGACAAATCCAAGCCTGTCCTTGAAGTTGAAGCCACGCCTATCTTGGCTCTGGCACGTACTATCTGCTTTGGACGTCAGTGTTGCATTCCAGGAATGCTGAGATTAATTGGCTATTAGCGTAGGTGGGTAAGTACACTCACTTTTTCACGTGGGATATTAATAAAGATTAAAGTATGGATATTGAGTATTATGTCAAACAGTTTGGATATAGTTATAGATATGGATATATTTTGGAAATGGATACATATGGACGGAAGAAATAAATATATATACAAATTTTATTTAATTTTATAAATACATTAATTATATTAGTTTTAAAACTCAAAATAATCACAAATAAAGCACAAATATATTAATAAGTATATTATAAATATTATACAATTTTATTGATAATCCAACAATCAAGAGTCTAAGATTCATATTATATATTTTTTACAAACTAAAACATGCATAAAATCATTATTATGTTAAATTTTATAAGTTTATAAGACAAAAGCATATGCAATTATTATATTTTAATTATTATAACAGTTATTTTCTATTTTTACTTTTCAACATTAACAAAAAAGTCAATTAAATATTAAATTTTGAAATGTTTGATAATATCAAAATTACTATAATATAAAATTTATGATTTTTTTACGATACATATATTATTATCATATTTTTTATTTTTAATTTTAACCAAAAGTATATCAAAATTATTAAAAATTCTTAGATACATATCATATGAAATTCATAGCATTTAATTATTAAAGTAATGATTCCATTATTAATATTTTTTCTATAGTGTCATTTTTTATAAATTTAAATTAGTGGATTTGATAAATTCAATTTAATATTATATTCTTGACTATTTTGTAAACAATTTCTTTTCTTTTTTGTAAATAATAAATATGTTATTATTTAGTCTAAATTAAAATATCAATGAATAATTTATAAACAAATATTAAATTTTGCAGATACATATAATGTATAAATTTATAAAATTTAAGTACTAAAATAATTATCTATTATTAATATTTTTATTTGTATAAATTTATTGAGAGTTAAAAATAATTTTTGATATAAATGTAAATTTGATAGATTGTTTACTTCATAAATGTTTATAAAGTAGTAATTTTTAATATTATTTTTTATTTTAAGTTAGAATTATTAAACATAAACATATAGTATTTGTCTAGGTTCATGTTAATGATAAAATTAATAATTTGTATTTTATTTCACTTAATATCACAAATTGAATGATGGCATAGTGGCTTAGAATGTTAGCATACAGTGGCGTCGATGTCAAGATTGAGTTTGAATCTTTGTAAGAGCGCTTTTTAAACAAGACAAGTAATGTGCGCATATCAGCAACGTGTATCAGGACATATCGGTCTGTATCAACCGATACGGTGTGATACACGCTAGTAATGATCTGTATCTTGCGATATTGATCTATTCTTATTGTTGATACTTTTACAACATCCAAAATCTTTGGGCCATGGCATTATCATCCACCCCACAAATAGATTTTACCTAAAAGGACCAAAAGTTATTTTTTCCAACTACACCAACGCAAACGTATAGTGTGATGTTTATATGTACACGTTTGAAGGTACATTGCCATTAGACCTGGGCTCAAGTTTTTCCAAATAAGCCTGGCTTGAACCTGAGATTGACTTGATAATAATTCATAATAAAAATTTAATATATATATATATATATATATATATATCTCCCATTTATAAAAAAGAAAAAATGGGTGAATCGTCTACCACCCTGATTTTATATTTCCAATCTTACCCCTCCATGATTATATATTTCCAATCCTATCCCCTCTTAATTTATTGACAATTATGGATAATTTATTGATTATTCAATAGATTACTGAAATTATTGAAAATTTATTGATTATTCAACCAATGAATAATTATTGAAAATTAATAATTGATTATTCAGAAAACTAGTGTAATTCTCATCATTACATTTTCAGAAAATTATTGATTAATTTTAATTGAAAATAACAGATAATTTAGTGCAATTTTGGAATTTTGACATTTTTTAATTTTTGGAATATTATCGAAAATTATTGTAATTATTGAAAATTTGTAATTGTGTTATCATAATTTATAATTATTGAAATTTTTATTATTATCAATGTAACTATAATTATTACACTAAAATAATTGTTAGTGTAGTTTAACTAATTCCTTTTTTCATAATCTCAAATAGTAATTCCCATTATCTGATAATTTTTGAAATATAAAAAACTGTAAATCTTGATTTAAAATAATGGAAATTAATGGTAATAATTATTGTTACATAATTAACGATTTTCCATTTTGTATCAATTCCAATAACGTAACTATTAAATTACACAAATTTCTATTATTTAAAAATAATTCTTACTACAGAATCATAAATTACAATAAAATCTGTTATTTGAAATTACAGTAATTACAGTAATTTTGAAATACAGAATTCCAATAATAGTTATTAGTGTAATAATTACAGTTTGTTTCAAAATAATGGTATTACACTAATAAATCTTATTGGAATTTTATTGCTAATAATAATTACAGTAATAATTATCATTGGAATTTACGTTTTCAGAAATTTATTAATGTAATTTTATTAGTGTAATTTTATTATTAGTGTAATTATAATTATTAAGTTACATTAATTATAATAGAAAAATTTACTATTAACTATGAAATAACTGTAATTCCAATAATAATTATTAGTGTAGTTAAATTAATTATTTTTTTCAAAATAATTATTACACTAATAATTGTTGTTGGAATTTTGGTGTAGTAATTAAATAGAGTAATCATTATAATAAATATTTTACTATAGTTACAATTTCTTAAAATTAATTTTATTGCACTAACAATTAAATTGTGTTATTATCCAGAAAAATTACTGATAATCAATGAATATACAAAATTTTCAACCAATAATTTCTTTATAAATGTCATTTAAAATTCATTAGAAATTATAAAATTGAAAAATAAAATTAATAATTATCGCTCCAGGAAAGAGTTGGTGGAGTTTGCAAGTTGGCAAACAAAATATCATAATTTTGGAAAATTTTGGAGAAAAAATAAAAAATATATTAATGTAATTTTGGAAAA